AGTCAAACCGACCGGAAAATCCAAGCTAGCGATTTCGTTAACCTTCCAGCCGCTAGAACTATATGTACATGACTTGAAAATCCATTGTGGTATGTTGTGTAGAATAAGCCTTACAGATTATTGACAGGGTTTGTAAAAAGCTTAATGGCCGATGGCTTCCCTAGAAATCCCAAACCATACGCGATGATGTCTGGAGTGTCGCCCGGCTTGAAAGGGAAGGCTTCAATCCAATATCCATCGGGCAATGGTGTGGCGACAATATTCTCGGCAATGAGATCAATGTTTGATTCATTTCGAGTGGCAGTAAGAGAGTAGTCGTTGCAGCACATAGCTTATGAGATTGATGAAGCCAGGTCAAACGAATGAATGCATTTAAATGATCCTTCAGAGCAATTTTGGACACCAAAAGATAAAGCGAGATCACTAATTATACGCACAAACGGTCGTCGTGCTTCTGTAAAATTCGAAGGTACACAGCACATCGATCTTGTAACTTCCTCGGCGTTTTCAAGTTGTCCACGGATGTTTGGAACGACGGTGAGAAACTGAGAATCAAGTTTGTCATACCAGATGCGCCACTTGAATGACAGCCCACAACCGTTAATTAGGCCCCTCTCGCTCCCCTTGGAGCCACCCTCGTGTCTGCTCTGTCCTACTTCATAGGCAATGGATCAATAAGTACTGCGGTCATGTGGTCTTCAGGCACCCACTTTAACGAGTAAGGTGCTTCACCTTGACATTGGCGTACAATCCCCTATGCCTCGTTGGGGAAGGACTAAGGCCTTAAGGGCCTATTAGGAATCCGATTTAGCTTATGGTTAGCACAGATCAGGGACGGGTCCTTTGCGAAGGGTTAGAACTCAGAAAGCACTCGATAGTTGTGGTCAAATGCAGTTCCGTCCGGAGACTCCTACCTGGAGATCTTGGGTTATGTCATGACATTGAAATATTTTTTGTTTCTGTGGCCATTTCTGAATCCATGTGGTTCTTTGTGAATCGTCGTGGTCAAATCAAGTTCCGTCCATTAGACTCCGATCTAGATTGTTGAATTACCAGTGTATGTCATGACATCGACATATTTTCTGCTTCTGTGGCCATCTATAACTTGTGAATCCATAGAATTGATATCGATACAATGGCTTCTTTGTGAAGGGTCAGCGCTCAATAGCTGTGGTCATATGAAGTTCCATCCTTAGGCTCCTACCAAGATTGTTGGTTGATAACATCGACATACTTATTCTCTGTTTCTGTGGTTTCTAAATCCGTGTGAATTGATATCGATACGATCGCTTCTAAGATCCTATTGACCTGGTTGAGTTTATGCTCTCTATCGATAGCCCAATGTTAGCTGCTGGAATTAAATTCGCTGAACAGTCGATAAAGGTCCCGTCATCGATCGAGAAGCGAGTGAGATCGACGCTTGATCGACGCTCAGACCAGACTGTTAAAATGGCCTTTCTTGCACTCTATGTATTGATCTAAGAGAAACAGTTAATGAGGGCCGAGAGGATACCACATGATTGGGTGGTTGTCTACCGTACTCCAAATGAGCAGCGGATCGCTTGTCTTTCCTGGTGCCCTAATGAGGATACTTAATGAGAATCGAATGCACAATAAATGTACACACCAATGGTGAAGCGGTTATCATGCTTGCCTTCCACTTTCAAATTAGCAAGCGGCAGGGGTTCGACTCCCCTTTGGTGTAATGTGAACTATATAATAAGGTCTTATATTTCTAAGTGGAGTATTGGACTTCTCCTGTGATTGCGGCTTGCTCCTCATCGTTGTTCAAACGTTCGGCTCAAAGATACTGTAGCGAAGTGTATAGTGACCGGAGTAGATGTTTTGCGAGGAATCACGCAAGAGAACGAACTGACACAGGTCAACGATGATGGGTGCTTTCACGCCATCCTTTAATGAGCGTCGAGTGTCTATTCTCGCCTTACATGGAGTAAAGACAAGGAAATCGACGAGCCTTGCATTGATCCTTCTTCCCCAATCGCGAGCAATTCTATTCCGTAACTCTCACCATCGATCAGCCAAAATAACGGAGAACGTTTCTAACCCTCAAAAGCCGATGAAGATACGTCAACACCAAGGTTTGATTTAGCTAAGCCTCGCATCGTCCGCTCC